GGACCGACCCAGAAAACCCCTATTAGCTTGCTGTGACCTTTGGGAGCGAAGCACCAGAGATGCTAGAAGCACAGATAACTTGTTTGATTTGGTTCTGTGTGTGTCATTTGTGTCTTGGCTGGGTGTGGGGGATGTGCCATGCATGGCATGGTGTAGTTCTCGGGTATGATCTTCAGTATTGGTCCTTAGCTTCTACCTTAGCAATCTCCTTGCTGTTCACCACTGTGTGTGCAAGGCTAGTCGGCCCATGAGCTTTCAGGGATTCTCCCATCTCTGCCCCCCACCTCACCTTAGAAGCCCTGGGATTACATACACAAACTGCTGCATCCATTTTTATAAGGGCTCAAAGCTGTTTTGAGGGCTCAAAGCTGAGTCCTGACATACGTACTGCAAGAGCTGTGGCCACCGAGCCATCTCCACAGCCTCTCACTTGAGTTGTTTGGTTTTCTTCTTTTAGCGCTTATGTTGTGGGGCTGGTGGGCGCACACACGCCATGACACGCGTGTGGAGGCCAGGCGTCCGTTCTTTCCTCTCACTGTATGGGTTCCAGGTTGATAGGGCTGGCCGGCAACACCCTTACACCCACTGAGTCATCTTGCCCATCCCTTGATTTGTTTTAAAGGCCAGCCTTGTCACAAACTGTCCTCTGGAATGCAAGAGGAGCTATCCACCATGGGACGAGGCTGGACAAGTATGGTATGCACAAATTTCCCAATGTCTGGGGCTACATGCTACCCCTCGCCTCCCACCCACCTCCCCACTTCATCAGCTTCGTCAGAAACCTTCCAAACACCACAAGGACCCACTGTATCCATCATCTCGCTGCTGCCTCCGGGTGGAGGTCACCACCAGCCTCACCTGAAGTCCCACACCTCTTACAGGGCTTCCCTGTCTGAGCCTAACTCTAAAGCCAAAGCCAGCTTGTCGGCCTCTGTTCAGAGCCCTCACCTGATGCCGTCTGCCCCAAGTCCTGCCTCCTCCCCATTGCTCAGCCAGGCAGATCTGACTGTGGATGTCACCAGTTCCACCAAGCCCCACTGGCATGGCCAGCACAAGGGGTTTCTATGTGCATTTTGTTGTCAGGGATTCATCAGAAAACGGATATACCAGGGTTTGGGGAGCTATAGCTCAGCAGTACAGCAATGTGCCTGGGTTGGGGGGGGGGCTATAGCTCAACAGCACAGCATGTGCCAGGGTTTGGGGGCTATAGCTCAGCAGTACAGCATGTACCAGGGATTGGGGGGCCATAGTTCATCAGTACAGCACGTACCAGGGTTTGGGGGGGCTATAGCTCAGCAGTATAGTATGTGCCTGGATTTTGGGGGTGGTATAGCTTAGCAGTACAGCATGTGCCTGGCACATGGGAAGCCCAGGGTTCAATCCCTAGAACCCAAATAAAGAACTATAAATTTAAAACTGATTCACCACTAATTTATTAGGAAACTCTAAAGTAAGCTTGCAACAATGTGAGTGTTTATTTAACTATAAATTTTATGGACTCTAAAACGGGTTAAGTGTTTCCAGTGAAGATTTAGCATCTGACTGAGATGGGCTGTCAGATATACACGAGACATAGTACAGGAGATAGAGGGTAAAACATCTCATTGAAAATTTTTACATCACTTACGCATTGAAATTATAATATCATGTTTCATCACATAAAATGAAAATATTAACATAAATTTCATGTGTCCTACTTTTTAAAATATATGGCTACTGGGAAGCATAAAAGGACCAAGATAGTTCATGTTCTATTTCTGTTGGACGGGGCTATCCAGACCACGGCTGCCATAAACCTGACCCGGGCCACTCCCAAGGATGCCTGGCTTGCTCACCGACCTCAGATCATCACAAATGTCACCTTCTCAACAAGGCCTCCTCTGAGCTTCCCCTTGGACCCTGTGCCCTCCCGCCCAGCCCTCCTCCCCTCGCAGCACTTCAGACGTAAACTGTAACTAGCTGACATCCTTACTGTTGGGCTCAGCTAGGGAAACGTGAGCCCCCAAAGGCGGGACTTCTGTCTACTGTGGCTTTTCCCACTGCATTGTGCCTAGGATAATCGGCTGGCCACTCACAGGTGGACACTAGCCATCTGTAGAGTAGGTAGAAGTACCCGGTTTTCTGCCTGGACAGGAAGTTTCTCAAGGGTTATACGGAGCACATAGTAGGTACTTGGCAGATGTCTGTTGCCAAGATTTCTGGGAAAACAGAGGCAGCTTAGCTTAATCATTCATAGAAGGCAAAATTGAACACCAAAGACCCTGGTGTTGAACACTGGACCCCCGCCTGCCTGCTCCTCTCTCCTTATCCCCAGAAAAGATCCCCACAACCTAGCAGCCTCAGCGCCCCAGGGAAGGGTCACGTCTCTCCCTTCCATCAGTTTTTACTCTCCCAGTGAGAAGACAAATCTGCTTCCCCTCTGCCAGAAGGCCTCGAGCCACAGCTCCTTACATTATAGTAATTAAATCCCTGCTGCTCTGAGGGTTCAGGAGACAAACAGGCCTCGTGCCAAGGGCTGGCCTGCAGGGAGGAGGCAGCAGGGAGGGCGCCTGGCCAAAGGGCCTGTCTCTCAGCTGTCTCCTGAGAGTGAGGAAATCCACTTAGCTGCGTTGCCTTCACAGGTTTTCACATGTGGGACATGCAGATAACGGTCCACCCACCCCTCCAGCAGACACTGCAAACAGTAGCCTGCCGCCAGGACCACCATTTTCTTCTGATCACGCCCCAGGTCTACCTGGCCACCACAACCAGCCCAAGATGGCCGGAGGGAGGCTCCTCCAGCTCTCTGCTCCCGTGTCCAGGTGCCGAGCTTGCCATGCCAGCGAGAGTGGCTCTCTCCAGCCACCCACAGTAGCAGCTGACCCGTACTGAGTGCTCAGTGTAGGCCAAAAGCCAGTCACAAGCTTACCGACAGCAACCCGTCATTTCCCACAGAAGCCTGAACAGCCAGGGTACCATTAGTCACCAAGGGCATTGTGTCACTATGTTGGAGCATCTTCCTAAAGCTAGCAGGTGACAGAATGGAGCTAAGACCCAGAGAGAACACGAAACCCAGAGAACGATAGGCACATGGGGCCCCGACGACTCTGCCCGGAGGAGGCGAGGAGTGAGACTCATGCCAGTCCTCAGTTTCGGGGATGAAGCCAGCACTGGGGGTTGATTCGGTGAGAACATGATGGATCTATATTTGGCACTCACCTAGCCCTTCCCAAAGCCCACCCTGCATCTTGTCTCCATCACAACACACATCCTCATTGTTCCCACTTGCAAACCTAGAGATGGAGACTCAGAGTCACAGAGCCAGACAGAAACTCATGGACGGGGCGAGCCCAGCGCTCCCGGTTGCTGGCTCCTGGAGCACCCACAAACCTCCACTAAACTAACAACGCTCTGCCCACCCCTCCACACACCCCAGGGATAGAAGGCCAGGTGAGTGAGCCAATGAGTCGTAAATTAAGAGAACAGGGAGCAAGGTGGGACTCTGAAAGACCAAACGGTTTTTTGGCTTAAAGGAGAACACCCAAGAGCCAG